CATTATGGAACACCATTTTTTTCAAGTGAACCTATCAGGAATACAAAATAGATTTCTCTTGACCCCTCATTAGACAATGTGTAATCAAAATTTTTAATCTTACTTGATTATTATAAAAAAAATCAGTCCAATAGAACAAGAGTTCATTTGAGGGCTGGCTCTTCCTGGGACAAGGCCTTCCTTGCAATCAAGCCTACTGGTGTTGTCCATACTGGCTGTTGAGGTATTGTGATCTTGAGAGGTTGTGCTTCTGCTCCTACTGAAGTAACCAGCACCATAGAAGTAGAGGCTACTGTGCCTGTAGGAAGACTAGGGAACGTACACACCATTAAAGGATAGGCTGTGACATAAAGCTGAGAGAGTTGTACAAATACAGAAGCTCTTTCAATTCACTATTAAGCTCATGTCTTCAGAACAGCCACCACTGTTTCTCCATGAATGGATTTCTGCTTCTTATTTTAGTTATTTGTCTAAAAGAAGGTTTAGATTTCACTGAAACAAGCATCAAATGTTCTGTATAATTAACAGATTAAACTGTTCAGGTAACTTAAGAACACGTTTAAGATGAAGTTAAAAGTAACTGAGAGCCATGTTATTACTGCCTACTTTTCCTTCTTGAACGAAGTTTGAGTAATTCAAATAAGCCAACACATGAGGCTGAGGTTCATGAGCATCCTGCGATACAGATCCCTGGTTTTTCTCTTTGGGACTGGCACTTGGTTCAGAGAAAAACAAGGCAATTATTCAGAGTCGAGATGTATCATCATTTCAATTTCAACAAAGTTCTCTCTGATGCTCTTCAATTTTTGTTTATTTGAACACCATTTTTGTTCAGGAATTTTTCTATACCCTCTAAATTCCAGTATTTTACAGTATTTGATCCAAAGAAACAGATGCTTGACACCTAATGCAAACAAGACAGTAAAGGCACATTCTGGAAAACTGAGTATAAAACTTGTGAAGGTCAAGTAAAAATGAGTAATTTCCATCTATTTTGAAACTTTACATTTCTAATGTATGAATATAAGGAAAATTCCTTTCCTTCGAGAATGAGACCTTCTTCCCAGAATAAAAATCTTGTTATTTCTATAAAGCTTTCTTCACTTTTAGTATAATTGAACTTGCCCACACTTAATTAAATGTCAAAACTCTAATATAATTATTTTATGAATAATTATACTAGCTGTCTTCTGTTTTAATCACTAGATCTCTTTTTTGAACATTGATAACTATCTTAAAATGTTGACCCATGGGCTTTATATAATTTCATAACAATTTAACAGGAAATAAAATGGTTTAATATTGAAACTAATACCTCATAATAAAATATTTCCTATTTTTTTTCTTAACATGATCTTTCATTATACAGAGTACAGAAGTGTACTGCTCTCTAGAATTTCTAGTATGCCTACTATGAACTGGCAGCACTCACCGAGAGATAGATCCATAATTATTACTCATTCTTTAATACACTATTTTTGAAACTATATAGACTTTGAGATATTTGCAAGATAAAAGCTATATCAAAAACTACTATTGTAATTTTTTAACATTTAAAAAATAAAACATTATAAATAATCTATGAAATATAGAGAAAAATCTAAAATTCAGATATTTTCATTTCATAAATCATATATGTATGTGTATATATTATTATACAATAATAATAGTAACGATATAGTAATATTACTATTAATAAATTACTATAATATTATTAATATAGTAATACTACTATATTAATAATATAGTAATATTGTAATAGTATAATACGCAACAGTTTATGTATTATCACAACATTTTAGCATAAAAAATTCACTCATATATCCTCCAAGAAGTCTGAAATTTCGAAGGGACACTGTTTCTAATTCCAGTGTATCACTTGTTTGTTAGCTCAGATGAGTGGATCATTACACAAAACTGATAGCTTTGTAGTTTTAATTTCTGTGTAAGTCAGTTAGTCTTACTCTGCTTTATGGACACACGAAGGGACAACACTTAGAAAGAAAATGTAAATACATTAGTGTGAATTTATCCCTCCATGGATGACAAAAAAAAATAAAAATAGCACAAAACCTAGATATGTGTCAACACCTGTTATGAGTGTCAGAGTGAAAAGAAATGAGAAAAGATCTTGACCATCCAAATACCAAGGTTGTATGCTACATAGCTTTCATTTTCACAATAAAACATAATGACCGAATTTTCTTTTTATAGTTACAATAAAGGGTTCATGCTGATCACCTGCCTGAAATTATTGTAAGCCTGGTGGGAAGCCCTTGAGGAGGACTAGTCATGTTTTCATTTTAGTAGGAAATCATTTAGCAAATTACCACTGTTCTGTAAATTACTATGCTGCATAACTTTCATACTGAGGAACTATTTCCTCTTACCATAAAGACTGCACATGAAAGGGTTCTACAATAAATAACCTGCATTTAAAACAAACCAATTCCTAGAATTTACAAATGTGATACAGCATTTCTCAGGTGGAAATAAAAACAAGTGTGTTTTATTGATAATATTAAACAAAGACACAAGCTCCAGTAAAGTCAGATTTTCATTCATTATTTGTTTACTTTGCCATGCTTCTAGGTGGCTCTACAAGTTTCTAAATATGAAGTAACAAACTGAGTGCTTATTTTTGACAGAAGACAATAGTTTTCAAAATTGGAGGTGTTTAAGCTTAAGTTTTCCATTTTAAGAAGGTCCTGAAAATTACTAATCAACCTAAATAGAACAGTATTTTGGGAGCAAAAAGATTTCATGATGTCTACTCTTGCTGAGGATGTTGACCTGAAGGGAAGTGTCTCAATTCTTTTAACTCTGCACTGGAGTAAGAGGCTCAAAATAAATGTAGGGAAGTGTGGCCTAATCCCCATAACCATCAGTACCGGAGGGTCACACTTCAAATCCCGTTATCAGCGCTAGTGTGCATATCAAAGTGCTAATTCCTCAGTCTTTTCCAGAAAGACTTTGATAATGGAACACAAAACTGGCTCATTTCATTTCAGTGTCAATAAGACAGAAGAGCAGAAGCAGAAGAAGCAATTTCTTAGACAATTAGGTCTCCTTGTAGTATTGCCTTTTCCTCAAAGAAGGACTTAGAAACAATATAGAGTGACTGCTTTTCATAAAGACTAGTAGTGAATACTGAGTACGTTCCCTCCCAAAGTTAAAGATGGTCATGACTAATAAAACATTTCATGAGAAAAAAATCTAAAAAATAAGAATCAAAACAAGCGAATTTTGAAATTAAGTCTCCCAAAACTATTGAAACAAGACATAAGTACCTGATATTTGAATTCAAAATTGAATAAAATTATGGCAAATGTGGAAAAGATTCAGAAAAATGACATAAATATGGTTTCAGTGTTACAAATAAGAGGCTTGAGAAAAAGGTTAAAAGAACAGTTATGTTTCATTTTGAAGATGTGTAGACAGGGAAGCAATTTTTATCATTTTCTTTCAGCCCTTTTCTTCCAGTATTCTTCATGTAAACCACAGAATAAGAAAATGCTTTAAGTGACAGTTTTTCAATGCTCCCATGAGTGTGCACCACTATTACGCTCCTGATGCATCAAGCAAATTCATTACATCCAAGCATGCAGAGCTTAGGTCACCAGGGCTCAATTCTCATGTGTAATAGGGGTCCATAAAAATTGGTGACACAGTGGGCCCTTAACTAACGTTGGAAAGATATCTGGAACCTAGAAAAATGCTTTTAAAAAGTAGGAGATATATAAATAAGATAAAGTGGATTAGCATTAGAATAGTTGACTAAAGAAACTTTTGCGATTTCCTCCTTCAGTGGATTTTGAAGTTTGGATTTACTTCTCAAACCAGACAAAACAAATGGAATAAAAAGAAGCTTCTGAGGCAGAGTTTTGTCCCCATCTTATCAGTGCAAGTGTTTGGGTCTCCTAATGTGGTACTTTTCAAATGGTGGAAGTGAGGAAGCTCTGAGATTAGACGGAAAAAGAGACAGTACCTGAGATCCATTTTTGTCTAAGAAGCTTGCCTCGTAACACATAGAAATACTCATCAACAGTGGGTAAGAGGGCAGGCAAAGATCTCTGACATTGCAAAGTCAAATCTCATACTGGAGGGGCTGGGGATTTAGCTCAGCGGCATAAGCGTCTGCCTTGCAAGCAGGCAGTCATGAGTTCGATCCCTGGTACTGATAAAAATGAAAAAGACCCCCCCCCCAAAAAAAAAAAAAAACAACAAATCTCATACTGGAAGAATCTTGTGAAACCACACACTTAGGTTCTTAGAAACATTTTTATTAAGTTCTAATGTTAAATATTTGCTTCTAAAAGGTAATGCTTTTTGTCTATAAAAACTGTTGTAATAACATGAATTGTCAATCTAAACATAACCAATTACTATACAGAATTACATAGATATGGAAGACTAAATATTTAGAAGGTAGGTTCAGTTGAAATTTTGTTTTAGTCTCTAATGCCAAAAGTCCAGATCTTTAAAATTTTATTAGTTAAATTCTGTCGAGTTGAAGTCCTTCTATACCTTGTGGCCCATGGTCATTGCTTATTCATTAATCTACATTATAATTGTGGAATGTTCACAAAATTCACTATGACTTTGATTGCACATTTGAAATATAAATTACTTCCTTTCGAACGATACATTAAGGAGTATTTGGACAAAGCATCAGTGGGTACAATCTGCTTTCTCCGGCAACCTATTATTAATGTAAAATGAGAGTCTACATTGATTTTTGCTTATGCAAATGAACAATGAAGGGCAAATTTCATCTTTTGAGAGAATAATAGATTGAATACTTGAAAGTGAATATCTCATAGATATAGATACAGACATATATATATCATATATGTAGTCTTTTAATTGTAAATGTTTTCATTGTAATGAAGTTGAGGTTGGAACAGTTGAAATAGGGTAATGCTTGAAAGTGAGTGAATACATGAATAAAACTTTTCTTGGTTTTTCTCATCCCTGTCTTTTTTTTTTTCCACTTACAGTTATGGAAGAAGAAGAAAATGAATTAAGCCCAGACATAAACTTAAAGAAGTCACAGTTAGACAACTGCCCAAGGGACTCTGGTTGTTATATATCATCAGGAAATTCAGATAATGGCAAAGAAGATCTGGAGTCTGAAAATCTGCCCGACATGGTACAGAAGATAACTATCACAGAGTAAAGTCACTGAACACATATTCTCGACTGTATATCTACAGATGCATTCCACTTTAAACTTCTTTTGTAGTATACAATCAGCTGGAATAACAAAGATATTTGTAAATATGACCCGAAGTTAAAATGTTTTAATCTGCATGATTGTACATAAAAGTTTGCATTTTAGATTTTCATATTAATTATAAATAAAATGTATATTTATTTTTAAAAGTATGTTAATATTTCACTTACCTCTATTAGACAAACTTACAATGTAAGACTTTGCCATGTATAACGTATGCTTTATTTGACTTTATTTTACAAAACCACGATGAAATCTGAGAGAAATAGATACTTTTTTCTCATTTTTCTGAATTGATTTTCTGTAAATTATTAATTGAATGATAATGAGGGATATTTGTTTTGAATCAGCTTGCTCAAAACTAAACACTTGCTCTTGTATTTATTAGGAAAGTGTGTTACTGTTGGAAGTATTTTACCCTGATCCATATTAGCTTTAGTAATTATTTTTGTTTATGTCTTTACTATATTACACGTAGAAAATATAGATAATACATTGTCACTTTTGATTTAGTAAATACTTTTAATAATTATGTTGCTGTTTGTGTTCAAGTGTAAATATGTTTCAATTGAATAACCTAATGTTAATAAAGAAGAACTGTACATGCTGTATTTTCTAGTTCTGTGTTAAGTACCTAATTAAGTACTTTATATAAAATAGGATCTTCCTATAAAATAGGGTTATAGAGTTGGTCTTAACTTTTTTTTAATATTACTGTTCCCAAATCAATTATGTCAGCCTCAACCCATGTATTTAACCTAATCTATGTGTTATCTAACTTCTTTAATACCCCTAGGAAACATTACCCTGGCATACTCAAAGCATTTATTTTCTTCAGAAAATTTTCTCTCTTTTTTTCCCAGTCACTCCTTAATGATACAGCATCCAGGCAGTTACCCAAGTAGAAAGTCATTTCTCTCTTTACTTCTCATATATCCCTGTTGTACAAATTCAATAAGTAATCAAGTCCTAAAGACCAACTCTGGAAGTAATTTCATGTTCATATCTTCTTATCAATTTTGATGGTACCCTGACTTCTTGGAGCCTCATGTTTTCATGCATGAAGCATTGTTATATCTTTCCAATCAAGTGCTTATCTTCTGATACATCCTCCACACACAGGTCCTCCAGAAAAGTCTTTCTAACATATAAATAAAATTTAAAAACTCCGTACTTGAAGTTTTTATGGCCCCTAGTTTATCTTTATTGTAATATCTAAACATTCTCTCATGTCTACAGTCCTTCCCAACGACTTGAATCTACTTTTTAAGTCATATCTTTACCTTCATTTCTCATTCCACGCTCCAACCATAAATATACTTGCATCTTTCTACTATTTTTAATGACTTTTGATATGCTATCTTTTTCTGGAATGTCTCCTGATATTTCTGACATTGGAATTTGCCCTCTGTGCTCTGTCTCAAAACTATACAAAAGAGTCACTTAACTCTAGGGAGTCTTCCATGATTCCCTTGGTACTGTCTTGTATTTTGATAGCAACAAGTAAGCTATTGGTTAAAGCAATTCTCACACAGTATTTTGTCTACTTGCATGATAACTGCTGTTCCATAAGACTGTGACTTTCTTGTAACAGAAATTATTTTGTTTAACTTGTTTAATCTCCAGTACCTAACAAACTCTTGCACTGATTGAGCATTTGGAAATGTTTGCTGGAGCTCACTGAATAAGATGATTATCTCCCACAAAATAGATTTAATAATTTAAATTTAAATCAAAGTATTAGGAAATACCTTCTAAAGTGATTTAAACAATCTTTTTACAAAAAGTAAGCATAATAAATTAGGAAAATCCAGGAAACATATTTTCAAATGCTAGAAGACAACATTAAGGTGTCAATCTTTATAATCTCTTTTCAGATTTATGAGGTTTACTCCCATATGCATCTCTCAGGTCAAGCATAAAGCACATGTCTACCTCTATCCTTCCCCAGTTACAAAAGGAAATGTATTTCAATGTATTTTAACAAGATCACCTCCATCAATGTGGCTACCACTCCCAATAGGTTACCATAGAGTTTCTTTAAACAAAGTCCAACTGCTAAATATAATTTAATTGAAAAAGGTAATTTCTATTCAATTTGTTGTCACAGGCTCAACTTCTTTATGGAGCTGCCAGGAAATTATAAGTCAGAATCTAAGGAACTACTTGATAATAAAACACTGCAAATATCTCATGAAGTATACAGCTACAACTTCAGTCTCTTAAATATGCTAACATGCTACCCAGTCCAGCATTTAAGGAAATGCTTTTGCATAAAAGGAGCTGCAGAGGCCTTGAGGCAAATGAAGCGTGGATGCAACACTGGATTCCCACAGATGGAAAATCAGAGAGAAGCAGAGACACCAGGAAGTTCATGTAACCGGAAGAAGGACTGCGCTACATAGGACATGTATATAGAGTATAACCCCAGAGTGATAGAGTGTTGCTGCTTTTCTTCAGCTGTGAAGTCTCTGAAGCTCTGGTCTCAGCACATCGTCAAGGGGCCAATATCAACAGAAGGAAAATAGGATTTTTTTGAACATGGAAAACTAAATAAAGAGAAGTGGAAATGTTAGAACTAGCTCATTGGAGCCTTTGAGGCTTTGTGGTTTTAGGAACTGGAGATTTTGGTGCATTTGTTTCAAAGAGACACTTGGAACTGAACCTATTTAGAGCATATAGAAAAATGATTAGAAATTTGATATTTTAATAATTACAGGATGCTACTATTAGCTTTTAATTTGGGATTGAAATCTAGTAAGATTCTAAACTTCGTGTATTTCTGTATTTGCTCAATAATATTTAGATATGGAACATACATGCTGCCCAATATACTATATCGGTAAAAGTCCTTTAAACCAGATAATCTACTTAGAAAAATTACACATCCTCCCCAGTGTAATTAGATAAGCGTTTTAACATATACACAGGTGTTAAATCTTTCAGGGATATAATGTTTATCTAATTATAGATATTTCCAGTATTAGCAACCCAAGTATATTGTGATAATATACAAGATGGAAGAAATTTTATTCCCTGTAAATGGATAAAATCCTCACAATACTTTTTTGATAAATATAAAATTTATATTAACTAAATTCTAGTGTCCCTTCTAGTCTATTGCCTTTAAAACATGAATCTATTTTCATTCTGAAATGTTTTTATTAGAAGCTTTACTTTTTAAAATCAATTAAATTTCCAAAGGTATTAGTTAAAAAATGAAGTACTTTAAAATTTCTAAAATGATAGGAATCTAAAAGTTACTAGATTCTAGACAATGTCCAACTCACTGAGGATGTAGTCAAGTGCTTTGTAACTTCCTGAGTGAGGCCAAATTGATGACATTTCACATTGAGAAACTTCCGTTACGAGTATAATTTCTGAGAAAAATAATATGAAGAAATTTTAGGTACTCTCCTACCCCTCCCTCCATGTACAATTTCTGTTTCCTCTACTACCATCAAAGAAAATTGTGTAATTAATTAGCATTCAGGCTTTAAAGTACTCTTTCACAAAGTGAAAAGTCATTCTCAAATTACATGTAAAGATTGGAAAAACATAAGAACTAAATAAAAGTATGTAGAACAGCGGTTTCTAAATTTAACAAAGGTTTTTGGCTATGAAAATAAGATAGCAGTGATCATTATTTTATGCCATGTCCTATTTTTCCACTGGATTTTTCTGACCACACTCAGCATTTACCTAGACACCTTCATACAGTTACAAGTTGGACCACCTTCTTTAAAACCTATGTAACTTTTACAGGTCATTGATCCTTTAAAACCAGTCTTCTTTTCTCTTTCCTAATTTTACTAAGCTATGTAAATTAAGTGTAATAAAGTATACAAAATATTCAATATAATGTTTTGTATATGTAAAATGACCACTAGCATTTTTATATGCACAGCTTCATTTTTTATTTACCACAGTCTGAATATAAAATGAAAGCAAGTAGGCATGCTACCGTAGAATGTAGGCATGCACTTGTGCTAGTTTATAAAGTTTTTCAAGCACAAATTGTCTGAGGGTTGGGAAAATAGTTTTTCAGAAGCAATGAAAGAGGATCTACTGGTTTAACAGAACTTTTCAAATAAATGAATTTTCATCATAACAGGTTATTCATTTGTTTACTCTTGAAAAGTTGAAGAAGCTATGTGTACTTAGTGCTGATCCTCCACTCTTGGTACATGACAGAAGTAATAGTTTTTGAACAATGAGTGATTGAACATATAAATGAACAGTTACACTAGTGTGTGAAAAATAAATAGATTTGGTGTGTTTTGATTACTTTTCTCTTGTTACTGAGTTAAGATACCTGATGCCCAAAATTAAAGAAGGAAAGTTTTATTTAGCTTACAGTTTGTGGTGCTTTTCATTTATACTCAACTAGCTTCAAGGCAAGACGGTACATAGCAGATGGCAACAATTCATGGCAGCAGAACACAGCAAAAGGAGCAAGCATACAAAGAGAGGAGCATTGAGAGAAGATTCTTTCTGTGCCTTATATTGTATGTAAGCTACATCCACTTGGGTGTAGCACTTACAACCGTAATCCCAGCTTTGAATCCATGAACCATTCACAAACTCTAGAAGCCTGCCTCCATGACTGTATGAGACTTTGGGGGGACCTCCAAACACAAATGGTAACATTGACACTACTGCACTATGGTCCCTAGTTTCCTACAGAAGTCAGCCAAAAGTAACAGACTCCCAGGAAATCACCCCAGAAGTGGACATTCACATATTTACAAAGCATGTATGCATGTAGAAAAGTGATCATGGGATATAAAAGTGTCAAAAGATGCTGAAAGCTATCAGGTATGTATCATATGGGTTTTTCATCACTTCCCCACCAGAGCTTCTATATGCAAACTTCTCACATTCAAATTTCCAACAGTTAGAGTATCTGGTAATTTTTCTTTTATATTTTATGATTAAGGAACCAAAAGGAAAGTACCCTTTAAAAATGACTTTAGCATATTCAGTGATCCTTTTTGACCTTCCAGGGACTCTGATGAACTGAGTGCAGAGCACTATTTTTTCACAGGTCAGTAGCGGAATCCTGATGGATAAGGCTGCAGAATTTTTCCTCTCAGAGTTCGTAGGCACTAGGCCAGGTGAACAGGCAGGAATCATTCCATTTTACTACAAAAATAAGGTGAAAAGCACTTCTGGCACACTTTGTCCATATAAATTATACTTGTTTGCAATTCATCATCTCCTTCTCTCCTCTATATCCATATGTAACGTAAATGATCATCTTTCTCTGAGGCTCCATACTGACGCACAATGCAAAAATTCTCATAGAATCAGCTAAGAGAGAGCAGATGAAAGTTTTTTCCTTACATGAATATTCATAAAAAATAGAAAACTCAACAAAAAGAGATATAAAAGGACTTGTAACCATGGGTTTATGGTCTTATGCACAGCAGAAATTTGGTTTTCTGCAAATGTTTATCTTTGAAACCTGTATTCATTCAGTTCCAAAGCTATCATTGAAAGTGCTCTGGGAAACAATGTCTGCCTTTCTATATAAAAACAAATATTTTTTTTTGAATTTTTATTGCATCTTTATGATTCAGGAAGTAACAGTTAAATGTTTTACTGGA